GGAGGGGAGGGGAAGGGAGGAGAGAGGAGAAGGGAATCCTGTATCTTGAAATCCTGTAGTTGAGCAGAAGTTTGTGAGAAGTTTAAAAAAAAAAGTATGGATAGAAGGGATGGGGGAAAAGTATTAGAAAAGAGGAGGGAGTATGGATTTTCCTTTTTAATAGCTTCTCAGTTGGTTCTTGTTCTTTTCTGTAGGATGAAAGAGACAGGGAACAGCCTAGAAAGAAGGAAAGCTGCATAAAAAAGCTATAGCCTTCCTTTTAATAAAATCAACCTAAGGGTTGGGGAGATAGCTCAGCAGAGTAAGCGCCTACCTGGCAAGTGTAGGGTCCTAAGTTCAATCGCCAGTACCACAAAAACAAATAAATAAAGTAAGATAAAATCAACCTAAATAAGGAGATAAATTGACAGCAACCACAGAAAACGCTAAAATGTTTCTAAGAAATGAGGACCATTTCAACTCAAAACAAAACAAAAAATGAAGAACGTTGGCGGACTCTGGGCAGATGCAGGACTCTGGTAAGCTCTGACCTTCCTTAGCCCCAGGGCACAGGCAAGGAGCTTCTGCTGGTACCTGTCCAAACTTTTAGGAACTTTGGTGGACTCTTGAGTGGCCTGCGGGATGCAGGAGAGCTGCAATATGTGTGCCCAGCACAAGCAGACATGGAGCTTTCCGGGAACCACTTAAGAACTTTGGCAGACTCTGGGCGGCGTGCAGGACTCTATCTAGGTGATTACTGAGAGCTTCAAAAATGTCAAAATGCAGGAGCAAAGGGCACTCTCAATCCTCTAGCCCACTCAAAACAAATCCAGGAGACAAAGACATACAAAAACTTGGAAATCACAGACCTGAAAGCTCTGAAATGATAGTAACTGAAGTAAAGAAACAAATCCATCAGGTTATAGAAGAACTAAGACCAGAAATAATCTCTCAGGTCCAAAAAGAAAGGACAACAATCGTGAAAGAATTGCTCAGCACAGCTAAAGAAGACATAAATAGAAAAACAGAGGATAATACAAAAATGATGGAAACACTGAATGAACAATACAGGAAAGAACTGGAATGCATGAAACAGATTCAAATAGGATATCCAGGAAATTAAGAACTCCACTGAAAGCTGCCAAAACCACTTGAATGAAACTGAAGATAGACTTTCAAGATCTCGAAGACAGTGTTGCTGCTAATGAACATGAAATAAAAGATCTCTTAAAGCTAACAAGGAACCAGGAAATAACAATTCAGTAGCTACAAGACAATGTGAAGAAAAATAATATAATAATAGGTGTCAATGAAGCAGCGGGAGACAGCACAAGAGACATAAAAAAAGACTATTTGCAGAAGTATTAGCAGAAAGTTTTCTAAACAGGAGAAAACAAACTGACATACAGATAAGCGAGGCATATACAACTCCACACAGCCATAATCACAGTAAATCTATACCTAGACACATAATAATCAAGATCTCAGAAATTCAGCAAAAGAATACATTACTAAAAACTGCTAGAGAGAAGAAACAGATCACCTATGATGGAAAGCCCATCCGAATCACAGCAGATTTCACAACCCAAACCATCAAATCAAGTGAACTACTTCAGGTCCTGAAAGAAAGAAATTCGAGCCCAGACTGATATACCCTGCAATACTATCTATCAAATTCAATGGCAAAATAAGATCCTTCTATGACAAAGAACAATCAAAGAAAATCATGACTACCAAACCTACCCTACAAGAGTACTGACAGATATTCTAGAAAGAGACAGAAGTGATCACAGCTTCAAGAACAACAGAAAGGAACCACCAAACAGAGCAAGTAACTAAAAAGAGGGGAAAAGTATGGAACCTATAACAGGAAAATAACATGAGAAAGATGAGCCAATATGTATCAGTTATAACCATCAATGTACATGGCCTCAATTCACCAATCAAAGGAAACAGACTACCAGAGTGGATTAAGAAACAAAATCCAACAATATACTGTATAGAAGAAACACATTTAACTCAAAAGGAAATTGACAGACTGAAAGTCAAAGGATGGAAAACAATCCTCCATATCACAAGAAATCAGAAAAAAGCAGAGGTAGCTATCCTGGTTGCTGAAAATATCAACTTCAAGCCAAAAATCATCCAAAGAGATAAAGTCACTACATACTTGCTAAGGGAAAAGTATAAGAAGAAGAAATTAACAATTATAAATATATATGCACCCAATATAGGAGCACCCTCCTACACAAGACAAATTTTAAAAGACATGAAAAATCAAATGAGCAAGGGTTGGCCAGATAATTCAGTGGACTAAAGTGCCTGCTTAGGCAGAGTGCAACGGCCAGGCTTCGATCCCCAGCATGCAGAGCCAGCCCCACCCCTGGGGCACAGTGAAATGGTGACTGAGACTGGGCATGATGGTGCACACCTGTAATCCCAGCACTTGGGGGGCTGAAAACAGGAGAATCACTACAAGTCCAATCTGTGTAGTGAGAGCCTGTAGATCCTGTACTAAATGATTTTTTTTAAAAAAATCAAATGAGCAATAATACAATACCAACTTTAACATGCCAAGGTCACATACTGATAGGTTAACTAGGCAAAAAATCAGCAAAGAAGTAACAACTAAACCAAACTTGTGAAGAAATTGACTTGGTAGACCTTTACAGAGTGTTTCACCTAACAGCAACAGAACACACATTCTTCTCAGCTGCACATGGGATGTTCTCCAAACAGACCATATATTAGCATACAGAGCATTCTTAAGTAAATGCAAAGGAACTGAAATTATCCCATGCATACTATCTGATCACAGTGCAATAGAACTGGAAATTATTGACAAAAGAAGCTACAAAAATCCCATAAGCACATGAAAATTAAATAACCTATCAAACAACCAGCAGATCACAGATGAAATTAAAGAGGAAATTTTAAAATATTTACAGTAAAATGAAAACACTGATACAACTTACTGAAACCTGTGGGATGCAATGAAAGCTGTTTTTGTTTCTGTTTGTTTGTTTGTTTGTTTGTTTGTTTGTTTTGGCAGAACCAGGTATTGAACTCAGGACCTCATACTTGCCAGGCAGGCACTTATTTTACTGAGCTATCTCCCAGGCCCAAAAGCTGTCTTAAAAGAAAAATTTATAGTGGTAAATTCGCACACTAGGAAAACAGAACAAGTCCAAATAATTGACCTTATGCTACACCTCAAGCTCCTAGAAAAAGAAGAGGAAGTCAAACCCAAAGCCCCAAAAAAACAGGAAATTATAAAGATGAGAGCAGAAATTAATACAATGGAGACAAAGAAAATACAAAGAATAAATGAATCAGAGTTGGTTATTTGAAA